AAACTGGAAGAATAGAATCCTCATCATAGAAAATTACATCATAAGCCATCGGCTGGGCACTCAACCTCAAGGCTACAATCCTCAAGATGTTCATCCCACGACTCTGACTGTCTCTTCCTCAAGTAAGGCCCCGAAAACCTTGAAATTAACTACTCATCCAACCCTACACCATTCAACCCCAACTGACATGGACACTAAAGCCCAAACAATCACCCAGCCCGTCTTCTTCCAGACCGCCATAACCGAAAAGCTAATAATACCCAAGATGTTGCAATAGATTCATGGTGCAAAACCAGGTTCCTACCCTCAACCAACTCCTTAGAATTTTTGGGACTTTCCTTGATTCGAGTTCGGATCCTGTGGTTCCAGTCGTACGGGCCCAATACTACCTTCTACACCTATTTGTACTCTCCTCAGAATCATCCTGAATCCTCTAAGTCATTCCCTCACAATGATACCGTCCAAAATCTGTTGAATAGCGCATCACTCTGACTAAAGCGCTTCCTAGGCTCTCCTAGAGTTCCCACCTCACCCTACCATCAGCTACTGAAGGACCTCTACTAATTTCAGTTAAACTACTTCATGAATACAATTACATGCAATAAAACTTATATAATCCTTTGACTAAAAGACTCAACCCTACAACGGTTAGACTCAAACGAGAGTTGTGCAATAAGGCCAAGTCAACCACTCTAAGATTATTTAACCCTTACTGCATGTAACTTAACATATTCATGCGATGACTAAATTACATCAATATGAGTCCTACAAAGCACAAAGCAAGCAACATTTGGGCATCAAGAACTAATAACATCACATAAACAGGCAGTCCTATCTTAGAAGCTCCTTAAGATCTTTAATTAGTAGCATGCATCACTACCAGCTCACATAACAGGCATAAAGGCATCTCTCTTAATCAGGCATCCTACCATGCAACAGAGTAGATCCTTAGCCCTAATCTAACATGCAATTCTCATATACTCACATCAAACATCAATCATATAAAACACATGGGTATTTTGGGAAATACTTACTTTAGCTCGACTTATTGCACGCATCGCACCCCTTTTTATTTAAAAAACTTGCTTAGAAAATCATATTATTTTATAAAATTTTACCAAATCCTCGGTTTAAGTTCAAGCACCCCCGCGAGTATCCCTGAATCCCTCAAACCACGGCTCAATACCAACTTGTAACGCCCCAAATTTCAACCCAAATTATCCGATTAAAACTTTAAGTTTTTATTTAAATCACAACTGCAAGATCTTAAAACATTTATCAGAGTATCATTAAAAGTTATCAAATACACAAGTCCCCCATTGATGTGATGGAATCGAGTCTTGCTCCTCCCTTAAAGCTTAGTAAGTTCCCCAAAATAACACACACAACATAACACAAATAAACAACTATGGGTTATCAGTAACCCTAGGGACAATCAACAGTCCTAATGGGTAACCAACACGCCCGGTGGGTTATCAGCAACCCTAGAGACTATCAGCAGTCTCAGTGGGCAAACAGCACGACCGATGGGTTATCAGCAACCCTGGAGACTATCAGCAGTCTCACTACAGAGTATCACATATCACAGTAACAACAAGCAAGACCTAGCTGGTCAGCGCGCACACACACACACACACACACACACACACACACACACACACATATATATATATATATATATATATATATATATATATATATATATATAACCACGCAGGCTCATACAAATATGCAAGAGTCACAAAGACAACTAGCATCCTACATACACAATTTAGTGGGCCGACATTGGTGTCTTCGACTCACGAGCACCGGGAGAAGACTCACCTGAATCGAAGAACTCTAAAACACTATGATACGATCCCTTATATGCACGTCTTGCACCCGTGAATCCACTAACACTAGAACCATATGAAATCTTAATTAATAACCCAAAACCCTCAAGTTTGACCCAAGGTCAAAATTGGTCAAAAAGTCAACGATCAAGAGAAGTCAAAGTCAACAAATACAACTTCAGGTTGAGTATGCCCAACGTACTCAGCTCGTACACATGGCGTACTCACCATCCAGGGACGGGACTCTACACGAGTACGCGCAGCGTAATCAAAGGTACGCCCAACGTACTCGACCACATGACACTTTTCCATTAAGTGCTTATTCTCTTAAGTCCTTTTATCCAATACTCAGATCTTGTCCCGCAACATCATTTAAGTAATAAACTTTCCACCTTTATGAGTTTCCATGTCTAGAAATGGTCCAAAAGTTAAAACCTTAACTTATTAATCTATTAAAACATCATGACACTTTCATGGAAGGAATAGAATGATCAAGATCACATTTTTATGGATCCTAAAAGCTCCATAATTGATAAAGTTTAGAAGTTTATCCATTAGAATGGTCCAAACCACCAAGATCTTGCCTTTAAGCATTAGAGAGACCAAAAGTGCATCTTTTTCAACTTAATCGATTAAGTCCAAGTCTCCAACCTTTAGATCTGAATTATAATGATGTTTATATGGATAAAGTTTCCAACTTTATCCATAACAAGGTCCCAAACTTTCAACATCTAAACTTTATGCACTAAAATGACCAAAAGCTCATAACATCCAAAACTAGCTAGATTTAACAAATGCATCATGAAGATTCAAATTTATACCTTTAGAAGAGAGATCATGGTGAACAAATTCCAGATCTACAAGCTCCAATGCAAAGAACACTTCTCCAATCAGTTTGTTCTTCTCCAAGATGCAACAACAACACTTCAAAACACTCAAAACACCTTCTTTTAGCTCACCAGGCTCAAACTAGGGTTAGGGTTTCATGGGTGGGTTTTGGAGAGGTGGAGGCTGAGAATGGAATGGTTTTGGGGAGTTAAGGAGGTTAAATAGGGCATAAACCATGAAAATATGGTTTGGGCGCTGATTGCGTACACCTTGCGTACTCCTGGTATTCCAAACATACTCAGGATGCCTTAGTACGCCCTGCGTATGCCTCTGCGTACTCAGCTTAATCCAAAATCGTTCAAAATTCAAACGGTCATAACTTCTTCGTTTCAACTCCAATTTCGACAATCTTTATATACACAGAAAGGTATTGAGGAACTTTACAATCTTATCTAATTACTTTTGACTTAATACACATCGAACTAAAATCCATAATTCATAAAAGAAGTCTAAAACACTACTTTCCCATTTTACCCTTTCAATCCAAAGCACAAACCCACTTCTTGGATCACATAATCTATATTACCCACATCCAAATGGGTTTAAACCTCTCGTTACCAAAGACCGAATCTTTATGATACCTGATCTTTGGGTCATGACACGAATTGTGAAATGAATCGAAACAAGGTGTTACAAAAAGGCAAAGAGATTCACATTTCGTCCAAGTTGGAGAAGATGAAAAATGAAACAGATTGAAGAATGTTTTGTGGGAATATGGAATGACGACTGGATAATGGTTTTTACCTAATACCCAATTAGATATTGAACATCAATTTGTCATTCGGATTCCCCTGCTTCACCGTCGGCATCCCACATCGACGGAGTTTTGAACGAATAAACAACCATGTGTGCAAATGTATAGAACTGTTACACGTTTGGCATCTACATCGTTGGTGGGACAATAAATGAAGGCACACATATTTTATAAAAGGAGACTTAGGTTCCATTAAAAAAAATCAAACCCAAATATTAGGTGGGCTAGCTGGCTCTTTGAGCCTGTGGATAGTTGGACTGATTTGGCCTAATTTCGAGTCCAAGTTGGACCGATTTAGTCTGAGTTAGACCAGTTCTAACCGATTTTGATCAATGGCAATTATTTTACCCTCTAACCCTTATTCGTAGGCGGTTGGAGGCTGCCAAGCATCTAGGCGCCGATTAATCGGCCGCCTAGACAGATCTTTACAACCGTGTGTGTGTGTGTATATATATATATATATATATATATATATATATATATATATATATATATATATATATATATTCTGGTAGGTATTCGACAAACAAATATGATGTAAGAGGAAGAAAATATTGAAATTTTGAAAATCTTGAAAGTAATCAAGTTTGGGGTTAAAGTTTAAGAACATTATAATGCATATATGATACAAAATAACATATTTTGGTGGGTTTGGATACCTAAACTTATATACCTTAAATGGGGTATTAAGATATATATATATATATATATATATATATATATATATATATATATATATATATATATATATATATATATATATATATATATATATATATATAGTAGAAGCTTACCCGCGCGATGCGGCGGCGGCGATTTGTTTCATTTCGGCGATTAGTTTTATAACGAAATTTAGTGTCATTTCGGTAATAATTCTTGGTGGCGGCGATGGTTAGTTTCATTTCGATGAATTGTTTCGTACGGTGATTAATTGTTTTTGGTGAATAGTTTCATTATGAAAATATTTCTCTTCGACGGATATTTTATTGACAACGATTAGTTTTCGTTTGGGAAACAGTTTGTTTAATGAAGTGGTCTTTTGTTTGAGCTTTGAGTCCCATAGTAGATTGCATGATCATTCATTCTACTTTTTCAGCATCATCATCATTTTATTTCAGGTTCACACATAATTTATTTCCGATTGTGCTGTAGCATAGTTATTACAACGACAACCTATCAAAATAAAAACAAAAGACTTGACAATTTGTTGTTTAAACATATATGTAAATGTGTACTTGTAATAACTTATTTGATTGCTAGTACGCTGTTATTAGTTGATTTTGTATATGTTAGATGTCGTTATTAATAAAGCGATTGGATTCGGAAATTATTCTTATTTATATAAAAATCAGTATCTTAATTTTTTTTGTTTGGTATTAATATATTGATCAAATCGCTAAATTGTTTTTTTTCTTAAAATTTAATTTAATTTTTTATGTAATTTAAGAGGTTGAAACTTGTAATGATTTAAATCCACCGTCAATCACCATCTATGTTGATATATTTTAGTTTTAAGGTATTTTAGATTTGGAAAAACCTCATAAAAACCCCATGTATTATACCCAAATGTTTAAATAAACCCCTATATAATTTATTTGTACGAATTAACCATTATGCTTTCTAACTTTGATTGTTTTCATGCTTTGTGACCGGTTAACCCAAAGCTACCGGTAACCTTAGAGTCACTGTTCATCCACCATCTAGATTGAAAGAAGACTCAAGGAGAAGTAAGGACACTCTTCATCGTCCTCATCCACCTTTTGATGATTGTATGTAGTGACATAGAACTAGAGAAAATAAGGTCTTCAGATTGTTTTGCTCAACTAATTCAGGGTCACCATCACATTATGGTATGATTTTGTAGGTTTTCAAGATATCAAGCTTTCATGGAAGCAACTAACCATGCTTGCCATCCATTTTCCTATAATGATAAAAAAAAAAAAATGAGTTATCTTTAGATTTGTAGTAAAAAAGAGGTAACTTGCAATGTTAGAGACATTTGAATCTAGCAATTCAAGCAGATCTCCAAGTATTTTTATTCTTGAATTTGCATCCTCACAATTAGACATAAATTTAAAAATGAGAACCAATATTTGTGGTAGGAAGAACTGCACATTGGTTCCTTTGTTTTTTTGCTTCTCAGGCTGATTATGTCTCTGTATAACCTGCAAAATCATAAGAGTGTTTCAGTTAACCACAGCCTTATAAACCTTTGCCATTAAACACCACCATATCCCATCTTAAAAACAACCTAGCATCACCTTGTTTATCAAACTAGAAGAAGAAAAGAAAATACAACAACCCGTCTTGTGTACTAATTTCTACACGGCCCGTGTGGCTTGATTTGGAACCAACAAACAGCTGCTGCTCGCTTCCATCCTGGCACCACCTCCGAACTAGAACCTGCTACCTTCGTCGGTTCCAGTCCAGCCGAACTCCCTCTCGGACAGCCGAACTCCCTCTCGGACAACCTCACTTCTGAGACCTGCAACCAAGAAAAGAAAAAGAACAAAAAAATTGTTGCCGTCAGTTCTGTTCCATCCGAACCGGAGACCTGCTGTCCAACCATCCCTCGTTGCAGCCCTTTTCTTCCGAGCCAAAAACCAAAGTCACTATTCATCGTCATCTTTGTTTGGACCTGCAACTAACCAGAAAAGGAAAAAGGAAAAGAAAATTGAATCACCAAGAAGCCGACAACCCTTTTCATTTTTCGTTCCAACCTCCATCTCCATCAAAATCGCTGCTTTTGCCTTCGTTTTTACCTCCATACCGAGACCCACGAACCACAACAGTTCAAGCCTTTACCTTCTAAATCCACACCTCGTGAAAGCCATTAAAACCGAGAACCACTCACCTCTTCGTTTGTTCCAGTTTCTTCGAACACATCTTAGCCAACCTTCACTTTGCCGAGAGTCATCTCAACCAGAGACCCCTGCTGCCATGGAAAAACAAAAAGTAAAGAAGAAGAAAGTCTTCCCAGGAATTGCAAACCTTCAACCATCACTTCGAAACCAACAACCTGTCAACCGGATAAAATAGGTATTTTAAACAGTTTTAGAAAGCATAATGGTTAATTCGTACAAAAAAATTATATAATGGTTTTTTTAAGCATCGAGATATAATGCATAGGGTTTTTATGAGGTTTTCCCTTTAGATTTACAAGAAATGAGATATTTTACAGTAAATTGAAAATCAAAAGTCATGACAACTATTTGTCAAGAAACAAAATAAAACAAAATCCACCTTATACATTATTTTTAAGGTTTATTTTATTTATTGTAATTATTTGGTTGGTTTTTTAGGGACGGAGAGGAGGTAAAATATATTACTGAAAACTTAAAAGGTTAAATGCATTTTGTAGGAGGTAAAATATATTACTGAAAACTTAAAAGGTTAAAAGGTTAAATACATTTTGGAGGAAGAGGTAAAATATATTACTGAAAGAGGACTATTTTACCCTCAACATCATACATATTTGATGTGACTCATGAACAAAGAGCTTCACAATAAGGCAAAATACAATTCTAGATATTTTTCAAAACATATACAATCATAACATCGTACATCGGAGATATTTTCCAAATGACTTTGAATATAAACGGCAAATGTAATCATTGACGTTAAAGTTATACATTAACATCTTATAGTTTATTAGCATTTAAAAAAAGATCACTTACATTTGTTTAGCCTTTTAAAAAAGCTTCATATGGTCATGGAATCCAAATGTAAAACAAATTTGGGTTATAAAATAAGAGAAATGTTGAAACTTAATAGCATTATTATACATATGAAAAAAAACATGGAATTAAGTACTTCAAATCATAATATTATAAAATACTAAGACTCAAAATTTTAATGATTTAATTAAAATCTTGAAATCCAATAACAAACTTAACCATTTCTTACATGATTATCACAATTAGCTTTAAATTTTCGTATATAGTGAAGTATTCAAGGTTGAAAAAGACCAGAAAGAAATCAAGAAAACAACATATGCAACTTACAAATCACATGTTCCAGAAGGGTGCTTAGGTGGGGCTTGTAACCCTTTTCAGATAATAAGAAGAAAATAACTTTAAAAAGTACACCTTCCACACTCAGGTGGCCTGTAGCAGAAAGAAAAGAAAATTTTGATTGAAACATGTGGTGTTTCCCTTTAACAATCTTACAATTATACCTTAGTTTAATTAAATTTTGCCAGTTAATCTGCCTATAGTGTTATCCCTGAAAGTATTAGTGATTATTCATTAGTTATAACATAAACTCAAATACATGACGATGAAATTATGTCATATTGATAAGATTAACACAAAAGTTACATTTTTTCAAGTTAACGAACTCCATTTCCATAGAAAAACTACAAAAAAAAAAGTTAAAACTGAGCGTTCTAGACACCGTACTAACCTGATTGAATGCAGTGACCTATCATTTAAGCCACTTGTCTGATGAGAAAGCAACACAGTTGATTCAGGGGAGTACCTTAGCAAACCAGGTCACGGCCAATCAAGGCCATGTATTCCCCCTGATAAACTACATACTACAACTGAATAATCAAAATCATAAATAAAACTCAAAACTGTGAGAACTCAAATAAAAAAACATATATACATGAACATGTTGATTATAAAAGCAAAAAAAAAAAGGAAAATCAAACCTATTAGAACTCCAAAAGACCTGTACAACACCAATGGGTAAAAAAAGTAAGCATGTTGAAACACAAATGAATAGAAAAAATCAGATTAAACCTGTTAGAACTTGAAGACGCCAAATTTCATTTCCATCTTTTTTTTGTGTTGATATTTCAAACCAAGACATATAGAAGGAGCAATTTGTAGACCTGGAGGGAACCATCTGATAGATCTGCCTACAAAAATCAGGAAAAAGAATGTGTCTTCAAAAAAATGAAACAAAAAACCCCCAAAATAGGGTGTCGGTTGTGAGGGATTTGTGGAGGTAAGTTGTTGATGTGGTTTTGGTTTCTTGATCGAGGGAGACGGAGACGGAGACGGAGAGAGATGGTGGTATTTTCTGAATGAAGATATGGTATGGAAGGCATCTATGATTTTCTTCAAAACCTGCAGCAGAGTTTAGGGTTGTGAACGCCAGATCTGAATGGTTGAAGGCATTCGGAAACGGTGGTGTGTATATTTCACGGTTTGAGTGGCGATGGTGGGGGCAATAGGGAAGATGATGCTTCTAATCTCTCTCTTGAATGAATAATAAAAGGCTGAGATTGGGGAATAGTGGGCCTGAACCATCAAAGGCGGTGGATATTGGGAGTTATTTTTTGATTCAAATTCAAATTTTGAAGTGGATTAAGGTCTGAGATTGTGTTTGTGGTGTCATAGTTGGCAGCAATGGACGGTCACTTGTATTATCAGATCAACGGCTAGGAGTCAAGGAGAAAAACTATCTGGCAATCCTTGTCATTGTACCGGCCTTCAAAGAGCGTTCTACAATCAAGCATTGATATGTTGTACCTTTTTCATAATATTTTGTACCTCTTAATTTTAAGATGTTGTGCTTAATAAGTTGTACATCAAGCTACTAAAGTTGTATTTAAGACTTAAAGATGTATGTATTATAATATATATATATATATATATATATTCCTTCAATCAAGAACATTTCTTGTTTCGAGAATAAATTTGATGTAACACCCATAATAATCACATGAAATTTAACTTTTTAAAACCAACCCAAATTCACAAATTGATTAGAAACATAGTTTTGAAAACATTTCGAACATCAGAGTCTCCCAAAATCATAAGTCATAACAAGAGGATGTATACGGTCATGCCTTCGCCTTTTCGCGGTCATCCAAAGTACCTGAAACATAACCCAAAAGTGTAAGCCAACGCTTAGTGATATCCCCCAAAGTACCAACACATAAATAGGTAACATATACAATAACAACATGTCAGGTTCAATCAACCATCGGGTTGGAATGACCCCAGGCTCAGTCAACCATCGGGTTGGAATGCCAATATAATATGGGTCCAGTCAACGATCGGGTTGGGATACCCCATGACCAATCAACCATCGGGTTAGAATGCCAATCTACAACGGGTCCTGTCATCATCTGGATGAAATACCCTTGGGCCCAATCAACCATCGAGTTGGAATGCCCCGGGCCTGTTCGCTTACGCACAAAGCAGTAAAGCCTCAACCACCAACCAAATATGTGCACATATAACAGAGAATCATATAAACAATCTACAGACAGTCTGGAAGATCTATAGATCACTAAGCATAGCACCATCCTATGTACCAGGATACCGATCTAACAAATCAGTACACCACCGATAACATATTATCACATAGCAGGATATCAAATCCAAATGGACGACCTTGGTGCCTTCAACCCGCAAGTACAGTGATGAAATCTCACCTCACAAACTGGACAAAAGATTATGGGGACCCGACTCCAAATATCATCTCTCTAACCGACACCTATTTCAATCAAATGACCAGTTTCCATCAAAATCCCAAAATACCCAAAAATACCCTTAAGGTTAAACTTTGTCAAACTTGGTCAAAGTCAAGATGAATCTGGTCAAAATCCATAAATCAACTGAGTCAACCCAATTGAGTCAACTCAGCCGAGTCAACTCAGCAAGCGTACATAGTGCATACTCTGAAGGTACGCTGGACGTACTCCTCCGTTGACCAAAAACAGAGTCGTTGACCGCTTACGCATGGCGTAACCCAGGTACACTCGACGTAACTGCAGACTTTCCTGTTTCTCCATTAAGTTCTTAATATAATGTCTTAACACGTCCAAATGCAGATCCAAGGTCAAAATGTCATTAGGTGTCATAAAGTTTCCAACTTTATGACCTTGCATGCTCAATAAGTGCTTAATCCATAAAACCCCAACATCTTAATGCCTTAAGACTCTCCATAACATGCATGGGACAAAACCAACCATTGGGACTCCACTTTTATGACTTAAGACCCCTCCTAGGGTTTGAAAGGACAACTTAATGGTCAAGAAGATGCGATGCTCAATATCTAACATTTTTGGGACCAAAAAGTATCATTAAGACATCGAAATATAGATCTATATGATAAAAGGGTAAAGTTGCAAGCTTTATACCTTAAAAAGGTTGCAAATGATGTAGAAACCCCAGATCCAAAGTGCTTCACTCTTCCAAGATGATCTTAGCTTACTTCCTTCGTCTTCTAAGCACAAAACACTCATTCTTAGGCTTGAAATAGCTTTTCAAGGTCAACTAGGGTTGCAAAACGTATGAAGAGGGATGAAAGCTGGTGAGGTGAGGGGAAATGAAGCCATAAGGGTGTTTAAATACGAGCTAAACCCTAAAAATTAGGGTTTCCAAATCTAGCAATTACGCCCAACGTTCAACTTGTACGGCCAGCCTACTAGGGTGCACCCTAGTATGCTCAACGTACACGCTTACGCATGGCGTACTCCCCCAAGCATATTTACAAAAATGCCGTTAGGGCTCTTTTGCACACTTTCTTGAAATTAGGGACGAAAATGAAACATAATTAAATTATAGGGTTGAAATTAGAAGTACCTTATCATCGGGATGTTACAATTCTCCCCACTTGAACTAGAGTTCGTCCTCAAAGTTTTCGGCGGTGAATAACTTAGGATAATGCTCCCGCATCTTAGTTTCCGGCTCCTAGGTCCACTCGGAGCCTATCCGATGTTGCCACTGTACCTTTACCAAAGGTAGACCTGGAAATGGAGAGGGTTTTGACCCTAATCCGCTCTAAAACTGTTCAAAATTAATGGTTTTGGATCATATTTTATGATTCGTTTACTCGTTAACGACCCTTTCCCGTTAACCCTTTTATTACAAGGGTCGCGTATGGATCACTATCAATCTGATCCGTTTATAACCTGCCCCATCTAAAATTTTGAAATATAAATTAATTATGTATAAGTAATAATACATTTATCAATCTTTACATATAGGAGTCAAGGAGCTAGACTATTAGACGTTCTACTTTAACTTCCCAGTTCGGTTCCTAATCCAAATGGTTGATTGCATTCGCCTTTTGGAATCAACTATGAAATCGATATTCCACAATCAAGACTCACGAGCAAGAAGAAAAGGGTTCAATCAAGATTCAAGAAGAAGAAGAAAAGGCTATAATCGAGTGATCGATATTCTACAATCATAATACATTGGAAGAGTTATTTATATATCTATAATAAATGTTTGTTTTGGAGTGAATGTTGTTTGGTTTTAGTGATCATGTTATATGTGTTTAAATGAATAATTATAGCCTAAACTTAATATTGTAAATGGGTCGGGTAAAAGGGTTGAAATCCTTTGATCCGGTGGATAAGGGTATTGGTTTAATCATTCAAAACCATGCGGGTTATGGGTCGGGTTTGGATCATCATTTGAAAATTGCTTAACGGGTTTCGATCAAGGCTGATCTGCTCCAAACCCGCTCCATTTCCAGGCCTAACCAAATGTATCTCCTTTTTGCGCAGAACCTTCATCTTCCTTTCTAGAGTAGCCACTGGTCTCTCCATATAGTTCAGGCGCTCATCGACCTGAATATCATCCAACAGAATCACTGCCTCGCTGTCCAATACACACTTCCGCAACTGCGAGACATGAAAAGTGTTGTGGATCTGACTGAGCTTCCTTGACAATTCCAACCTGTAAGCTACCTTTCCAACCCTGGCAATCACCCGAAAAGGTCCAATGAACCGGGTACCCAATTTCCCCCTCTTCCTGAAGCGTATCACACCCTTCTAGGGTGAGACCTTCAGGAGTACCATATATCCGACCTGAAACTCCAACTCTGATCGACACTAGTTAGCATAGCTCTTCTGCCAACTCTGAGCGGTCTGCAATCTCTGCCTAATTTGCTAAATAAGCTTCATGGTCTGAAGGACTACTTTGGTCCTTCCTATAACCCTGTTGTGACATCCCCATTTTCACGGCCAGAAAAGACCGATTTTGTTTATGCTTTATAAAAATCAGAGTACCTCTTTTAATGAAAATGTTGCGGAATTTGTTCCCAGAAAAACATGATAAATACGTTATCAAAGCATTTCCGAAGAAATGTATTTTTATTCATTTTAAAACATTGGGATGTCATCGTCAATACAGAAACATAAGCATAAACAGAACTTACATTCATTTACACTAGTGATCTACATCTCTTTTAAATCTCTCAGTGTAATGTAACTTCATATCGACACCTGTGATACAAATAAACTGAGTGGGTCAGGTTGGGAAACCTGGTGAGTACATAGGGTTTTCAACCCACAATAATATAATTATTATGTTTAATCATCAAACAGTTAACCCAATTACCCATCCCCATTATATTATTTACTCTTAAGGATCTACCCTAAGAATCTGTTATTTCTTGTTCATTCATTCCTAAGGATCATCCTAAGGAATAAGCACGAAATCCATCGTTGCCAGGGTTTTCTCAACGGACACTAAATCCATAGTTGCCAGGGTTTACTCAGCGGGCACTAAATCCATAGCTACCAGGCTATTTCGTTTATCAACAATATCGTTTCCGAGAATCCACTTGCAATACATGTCAATGGGTTTTTAGAGTACACCGGTGAACACATCGTTCACAACACCTACAGGTTGCGAGCCTGCTAGTGTTCCACTGGACTGTCTAGAATGGTCCGTGGTTGTCATCTATACTCTGCTAGATGACGGGGCCAACATTTGGGTACAAGGCTTCTTACATCTTCCACCTCTCACCCTCACCTCATGGTCTATTTCACCTCTCACCTCATCATCCGACTCATATTTCATCTACCCATGTTTTACCCAACATATTTTGTAGATACAAAATATATATACATTTTAAATCATTTAAAGCATGTATAAAAATCTTTCACCCAGCATAGACAGCAAGTCTATAGACAATATGCACACATAGCACATAGTTTATATATAATACTTCATATCTATGTGTAAGATGAAAGGGACCATGCACTCACCTGATAAGGTGATGACTCGGTACTTGGACAACACTTCGTTACTGTTAAAACAATTTCCCTCGGACAAAACCTAGTATCATTACCGCTAGAGTTTAGTCTAACGTTAACCACTACTAATTAATAGTCTAGCTATTATTACTATTATATAAGCATTAAGCAACACTCTTATATAACTCATAATAACAGCCCAAATAATTATTTTAAGGTCCTAATAATGTTACTATATTAAAACATAAGTTATACTAAAAATAGGGTAGGCATAGCTCACTTACAGCGGGTTTTTCGCAAAACTGGGCTTCGCCGGAGCAGCGTTCCCGAGCCGAAAGGCTCTTTTCTTGGGGCTTCGGGAGCCTCGGGGCTTCCTTCGGGTGCTAGGGGGTTTACCTAGACTTTAGGGGGGGTTAGGGAGGCTAGAGAGAGAAAGTGGAAGAGGAAAGGTGTGATAATGAATGGAACCCAACACATCTATTTATAGTGTGAAATCCTGATGGACTCGCCGAG